ATGTTTGATAATGACCGAATGACGACCGTTCTGGTCAGGTGAGGCGAGAGTGGCTCGGAATGTAAAATTTGCAAAGCCGCCAGAAAGCCGTACAACCTCAGAAGCTGGGAAAGGAGTTTGAGAGAGATATGCTTTGACACCCTCCGTCGTCGTTAAATTTTCCGTCAGTTTGATTCCGTTTAGAGTGAGCATTGTTGTTGTTTGAGGCTACGGCTGATGTGGAGAAAGTTGTGTAAGATTCGACGATGCTTTATATCGACAGACTCAATCTGTCTCGGTGCCGCTCCACAATCGATAGCCAAGTCATAGCCCGGCCATAGCGTTCGCTTTATGTAATCTACTCGTTTATTTGTAAGCCCCAAGCATTTTGAAAATGGTCTCAACATAGAAGAGCACTGCCTGTACTGCTTCAATGAGAGTATACATATTATTGCCTTCGACAATGGGCCTTTTAGTGATATGATTACTAATTTGAGCGTTAATAAATCTCGAAATACGCAACATGTTGAGGCTATAAGGGTGTGGGAGACTGCCCTCTGGAGGTGGTTGAGGTCAAGCAGCTGGAGAAGTGGCTTTCATGTGCGCTTAATTTATGTTTGTTTTCTTAGGGATCTTCACCAGTCTAATCTATTTGATTTCTAAAACTATCGATCTCGATGACTTTATTCATCCTAATTACCGGTTCGTGGAAGGCCACGATAGATATCTTCCCTTCTTTATAACTTTCAAACCAGAGAGTTACAAGAATTGTTATTTCAGTATGTCGTCACGAGATACATGGGTATAGTCTGACCAGGTCCCCTCGCCTTGCAAATTTATCAATACATTGCCTTCAATGAGCCAAGAAGAGGCATCCCCCGAGGTTGATATCATTCTGTAACCTGTCTATCTTGTATAGGGAGATTAGCTCACAATCTAGCTTCAGTACTGGGCTATTGAGAGGATGTGGTATCACATTCACCAGAGTTGGTCTCTCGCTAGTTTTAACATGTAACATGGTAATGACACTACAGGCATCGACACCCAGAATCGACAGTCAAGTGCACAAGGATGACAGGACAAAAGCCAACGACTCGTAGGGTATCCTTTAGAGTGCGATTTCGCCATCCATAATGCTATCAGGCCTCATACTGTATATGGTAGATAGTTTTGGACCTCTAGACTCTTCAGTTGGATGGCTCACTATGTATATCCTTTGTCTATACTAATATAAAAGGTACTTGGGGTACCTGCACGGTAAAAC